CCGAATAAGCTATATACAGAAACGGAGGTGGATTACAGTGTTAAGCACAAGTTGTGAATGGCATTTCTCTGCAGAATGTGGTTTTTATCTTGGGAAATACAGTGGTACCTCGGGTTACATATGCTTCAGGTTACATACACTTCAGGTTACAGCCTCTGCTAACCCAGAAATAGTGCTTCAGGTTAAGAACTTTGCTTCAGGATGAGAACAGAAATTGTGCTCTGGCAGCGCGGCGGCAGCAGGAGGCCCCATTAGCTAAAGTGGTGCTTCAGGTTAAGAACAGTTTCAGGTTAAGTACGGACCTCCAGAACGAATTAAGTACTTAACCCGAGGTACCACTGTAAGTATTTGGGAGAAGGATAATAGTGGTGGGTTATCCCTGCCTTATAATATGGCAGGCCTACAAACAATGACTGAGGCAGGGACTGAAGACAATATAAATTTCTGTCTTCAAACCTGCAGCTATGGTCAAGCCAAGTCTCACTCCAGATGTCCCTTCCGTTTATACTTTTGGGTCCCTCACACCTCTCTCAACTCATTCTGAATGCTCTTCCCATGCATCTCTCTCTCTCTCTCAAATGCTTGTTAGGATAATTGTCCATTGTACCACTGATTTCTTTCTGTCTTTCATTAAAATATTTTCAAGAAGTTAATAAAGACACATTGCACCATAGAATTAAATGCACAACAAGCATTTGAGAAGAAATTGATAGCTTTATCAACTGGCAATGGAGGCAGTTGAGCTTTTGTGAAAGATGTTCAAAAGCTAAGCTGCTGTTTTATGTCAACAACAGACATTGTGAGTCAATCAACATACAGAAGATTTGCTTTAGGGTTATGTCATGGGATGAAGTTTGGCTGTTTGTACTACAGAAGAATATAATGGTAAACCTAATGCATTTTTAACTCAATCAATTATGATTCTCAGCATTGTAATGCAGGGTCTCATATTATTAGTTCATGGCCTGTCCACATCTGGATGTAAGACTCTAGCTACAACAGGATTGCAAACCTTTAGTTACTGAAGAAGTATGGAATTGTTTAACTTTCTGCATTCTATGTTGGTGGTTCCTGCAGGCTCTTGTTCTTATTCCTAAAATCTCCTACGAGGAACCACTTTTGTCATCCCCCCCCCCCCGCAATTGTCATGTCATTGTTCTTTGCATAGTCTTTGCTCTGCATGTGTCTTGAATGAGAATGAGCTCATATTGTCCCTTCCTTACCATAGGATCTATCTATCTATCTGAAGATATAGAGCAAAACCACATGCCCTATAGAAATAATATGAATGTAATGCTTGTTCTGAGCACCTGTGTCTGACAGAGAAGGTCCACAATGTTTATAAACCTAAGACTGTCCCAACAATGGAACACAGGTTTCACAATTCATTCTAATAGCAACATGAGAAGTTGCTTTATACCAGGTCAGCCTATCTGTGTATCTTGTCCAGTATTATTTATTGTGACCAGTAGTGGTCCCTCTCCCAGCCCTGCTGCCTGATCCTTTTAACTGGAAATGCCAGGGATTGAACATAGGACTTTCTGCATGCAAAGCATGCTTTCAACTTTTGAGTTATTGTCCCTCCCTAATAAAAGGTGTTAAGGGCAATTAATGAGGTATTGCAGTTGTGCAGCCTTTTGTTTCATTTCAGCAGGAAATTCTGTGCATGCCCTGATAAAATGGATGGGAGTCAGGAAACAGCAGTGGTCTAGTATTGGCATAAGGAAGCCTGAATTTTAGTCTTCATCTTTAACTATTCAATATCTGAAGGTGACTCTATTTTGAAGAAAAAACAAAGAAGAGATTGCTATCAGACAGCTCAAAGAAAGTCCTATGTTATAACTGATCTTAATCTATGATGGAAGTTGTACAGTACAGTGGTACCTCGGGTTACAAACACTTGAGGTTACAAACTCCGCTAACCTAGAAGTAGTACCTCGGGTTGAGAACTTAGATACAGGATGAGAACGGAAATCGTGCACTGGCGGTGCGGTGGCAGCAGGTGGCTCCATTAGCAAAAGCACGCCTCAGGTTAAGAATGGTTTCGGGTTAAGAACGGACCTCCGAAACTAATTACCGTATTTTTCGCCCTATAGGACGCACTGGCCCATAGGACACACCTAGATTGGGGGGATAAAGGGGGAAATTATTTTTTGCCCCCAGGCGCGGGGCTGGGGCGGGGGAAGCCCGAGCTTCCCCCAGCCCCCAGACCGGGACCCAGAGCGATGCCGAAGCTGCGTGCAGCTTTGGCATCGCTCCGGGAGCTTGCGGGGATGGGGGAGGGGGAAGCCCGAGCTTCCCCCGACCCCAGCCCCCAGAACAGGAGCCAGAGCGATGTCGAAGCTGCGTGCTGGGAGCTTGCGGGGTTGGGGGAGGGGGAAGCCCTCCGCCGGCCTCCAAACCAGGTCGGGAGACAGCGGGATGGCTTCTCCCCCCGCCAGCATTCTAACCAAGTCGGGGGACAGCGGGAAAGGCGCGCTGCGCCTCCCCGCTGTCACCCGAGTTTGCGGAGCTGGCGACGGGGAGGAGCAGGCTTCTCCCTCCCGCCAGCCTTCTAACCAAGTCGGGGGACTGTTCCCGCTGTTTCCCGAGTTTGCGGGGCTGGCGACGGGGAGGAGCAGGCTTCTCCCCACCGCCAGCCTTCTAACTAAGTCGGGGGACAGCAGGAAAGGTGCGCTGTGCCTCCCCGCTGTCCCCCGAGTTTGCCGGGCTGGCGACGGGGAGGAGCAGGCATCTCCCCCGCCCCCGCCAGCCTTCTAACCAAGTCGGGGGACAGCGGGATGGCAGCGTTCCGCCTCCCCGCTGTCCCCCGAGCTTGTGGGGCTGGCGCTCTCCTGAAGCCTGGAGAGCAAGGGGGGTCGGTGCACACAGACCCCTCTCGCTCTCCAGGCTTCAGCGAAAGCCTGCATTCGCCCCATAGGACGCACACACATTTCCCCTTCATTTTTGGAGGGGAAAAAGTGCGTCCTATAGGGCAAAAAATACGGTAAGTTCATACCACTGTATAACCATAAATATCCCAAACAGTAAAGTTAAATAAATATGGTGTTGTGAGTCAGTCTTGGTGGTTGCTTGTTTCCTAAAGTGCTACAGTCCTTTCTGTTGCAATTTAGCATGTATGTAGCAAAAATAGGGAGAATAGCATATTGCTTTAGATGGAAAGGGGAAAGTCTGTGTTAAGTGGTCTTCAAACTGTGATCTTGGAAGTCCTAGAGTTGCATAGAATTTTATCGGGGATTCAAAAGGCAATTAATAATTGCATACAAGTTTTTTTAAAAGACAGCTTAATTACCCTCTGCAGGGCAGTACTGGGACTTCTAGGGTGCACTCCTAGTAAATCCAACGTTATGGTGAAACCAGCATTGAGTTGTAGCCCAGCAGCAGCTAGGGACCCAAGTTTGAGAAACACTGTCCTACAGCAAGCTCTAAAGTTCTCTAGAATGCACAATCATGTGACAGGACACAGATGTGCTCCTTGAAAGGTAAGTGAATGTTGAGTGCCTTCTCTGCTTGGGAAGGGCCGTGATGCAGAAGGTCCCAGATTCAAGTTCCAGGATGGTGTTTCCTTGCAACCTTCAGAGACAGCTTTCGTGGACTGTCTTTGCCTGTTAGTGTAGACAATACTGAGTTAGTTGGGTCAAATGTATCCTGTTATATTATGTTCACTGTAGGCCAGGAGTGGGAAGCCTCAGGCATGGGCGGAAGGGTGGCAACTGTGCTTCTTGGGGCTCTCTGTCTGACCCTTGCAACTCTTCTCAGGCCACATTCCTTCTCCCCAAGTCACATCCATTCCAAGTTCTGTTGTACACCCAAATGCTTTTGTGTAACTCAAATATGACCTTGAACTATGACAATTCATCTTGCTTGCCTGGATAGAAAGGTGTGTGTGTATGTGTGACTGTATAAACTTGTGATTTTTGCATGGCTGAAATGTAGACAGTCTGAAAACCACAAGCCAGCATTATGGAATCAATGTGGTAAAAGTGAGATTAGAGAGCTTTAAACATATGTAATATTTTAAGGAGGGGCCAGAAGTACAAGATAATAGCTTGAGGAATATAGTGCAAGAGGCACAAAAATAGAAAAGCCTTTTAAAAATAAGCAGTTTTAAAACAGTTACCCTGTGTATTTATGGGGTGCATATGTTTACCATCATCACAGGCATCTGTGCATGGTTACCAGTTTTGGAAAACCAAGAATGGGACATTTATTGAACAAACATTGAAGGAGACATTTAAGGCAAAGCAGTATAGCACAGATGTTTCCCCATTAACCTGTGCATCTGTATTTATGCCTACACTATGCTCCACTGTGATTCCACTCAGCTTCCTCCAAATCTTTTGTGCTTGTGACATTTGCATGTTGGCATTTGTTTCAGGTGGGACTACTAATTCGTTAGGAGGGTTATAGTTAAACAGTCTTTTCTTTATTTAATAAATGCAGTTCTTTTTTAGGAGGCACTCAAGGGTTTGCAGTACTGGCACCTCTTTCTTTTTCTTTTTCCTTTTTTTTGTTTTGTTAAAAAGTGTGGCATTTACTGTAACAATTTCATGGTGAGTACCAACACCTATTTTTCTAGGGGGGAAAGCACCGAATAAATGAATAAATTTATTAAAATGGTCCAACTCATTTGACATTAAAGTGCTTCTGATTAGCAAACAAGTTTAGGATATATAAAAAAAAAATCCTAATCACAAATTGAGATTCTTTGGGAAATGACATGCTATGTAGTTTATAATTCAGGGGTAAGTACCGTATATACTTGAGTATAAGCTGACCCAAATATAAGCTGAGGCACCTAATTTTAGCACAAAAAACTGGGAAAACTTATTGACTTGACCTGGTGGTGGCGGCAGCAGCAGCGGCAGAGGAAGAACAAGCAGCCCGAAAGGGCTGCTTTCGGGCTGCTCTTCCTCTGCCACCGACAGCGGCAAAGGCAGAGGAGGAGGAAGGAGCAGCCTGAAAGAGTTCCTTTCAGGCTGCTTTTTCCTCCGCCTCTGCCGCTCGCAAAAGCAGGCATAGGAGCCACGGTTGGGAGAGGCGCAGCGCAGCACCTCTCCCAACCGCGGCTCCAATGCCTGCCCTTGCGAGAGGCAGGCAGCGGTGGTGGGAGTCGAGGCGAGAAAGGGCTCCTTTCGGGCTGCTCGTCCCTCCGCCGCCACTGCCCATCTCCCTCGAGTATTAGCCAAGGGGGGCTTTTTCAGCATAAAAAATGTGCTGAAAATGTTGACTTATACTCGAGTATATACAGTAGGTGACTGTGTTAAAAATAGAATGATTAAGAATGTGAGGCACATTTCACTGAAATTCCCCACTGGAAGATATCAAGTTGGAAACATTAGCTTTATGATTGGAAAACACTACAGAGCACACAATCCAATGTTTTTTTTAAGTTCTCCAAATCCCTAGTTAGTGACACTTGTCTAAGTTGTCAAAGTTAATGTTACAAATCCTCCAATGGCAATTCTCAAGAAGATTCAGGAAGAAGGCAGGAACCATCTCTTCAAACAAATGTAGATAAAATCTGAGTTGGGTGGAGCTCAGGCATAGCTTGAGCTCTATTAGCATAGTAATGAAAGTGGCACTTGCATACCATACCTAATCTCAAATAAAAGCAGTGACATTTTGTGGGGAGCAGGAGAGATGTGTGTGGTGATCACACAGGGCCCCCGGACGTTTGACAGTCTATTGATCCCTGTGCCACCACTGTGCTCAGTTCCCCGCTGCCACCAGCCCATTACTCTCGGGTACACCCTGAGTCCAGACAGTTGTTAAAATTAAACCAAATAAACAAGTTTATTTTATAAGCATTAACAAGTTTATGGTTTCTCAGATAATATTCCTGTCAGTTTCTTAACCTTAGTTTCTTTACCAGCCTATACCTTCCTAATACCTTCTGACTGATTATCTCAACTGTTTGACTGACTCCTCTTAACAGATTCTCTCACTCTCTCACATCAGACTAGCCCAACCCATAGACTATCCTCCCTCTCTCTTCTCTAACTCCAGACTCACTTCTTAACAACTCTAGCTCCTCCCCTTGGGTTCCTATAGGTTAGTCATTTTACACTTAGTTAACCCTTTCCTTATGAACCCAGTATGATGTCACACACCTAGGAGGGCAAACACCACAATGTGTTTGGGTGATTTACAGATGACTGCTTATAAGTCAAGAGGACAGTGGGCTGCAATAGTGACTTTGCATCAAATGACTTAATTAAGCACACCTTTTTGTGCTAGGAATTCCTACCATCAGCCAAAGGAAATGTCGGGTTATGGTAAACGTGCACAGCGGGTTAGTTGGTTTGAGAGATCTACAAAACTAAATGGAGTATATTTGAAGGCGGCTAAACTGGGATGCACTTTTCTCATCACCTTCTATTTGTGAAATGCCACAACTGTCGGTGTTTTTTATGTATTCACTTTTTAAAAAGACTAGTAAACATGCTTGCATTAGTAAATATATGCAGAATGACTGGAAATAGCATAATGTCAAGGCAATACAGATACATGCATGTTTCCATTGAAATAAATAACAACTTGATAAGAATGCAGTTTGCACAATACTCCTTGCTTGAAAGAGAAGATTTGATTTTAGATCTCCCCCCCCCCCCAAGTAGACCTACAATGTGCTGTATATAGGGCTGCATTTAAATACTGTTTAAAGCTTCAACTGGTGCAGAATGCAGGGACCTGGCAAGTTCTTGGAGCTACCATATTTTTCGCTCCATAAGACGCATTTTCCCCCTCCTAAAAAGTAAGGGGAAATGTGTGTGCGTCTTATGGAGCGAATGCAGGGGGAAGACAGGCAAGAAAAGCCCCCAAGAGCCGCACACAAGCTCTGCGCAGCTCTTGCAGGCTTTTTCCCAGGAGGGAGAAGGGGCTGACGCAGCCAGTCAGTCCCTTCTCCCTCCTTGTAGAAAAGCCCGCAGGAGCTGCGCGGTTCCTGTGGGCTTTTGCGGGAGGTGGAGGAATTGCCATAGCCTTGCGCAGCCTCTCCCAGCTGAAGAGGTTGCGCGCAGCTAAAGAGGAAGCCAAGACAGCCAGCGGGATGGATCCCACTCTCTGTCTTGGCTTCTTTGCTCTTTGGGACTGGGGGGGAAACCGGGGCTTCCCCCAGCAGCCCCGAGAAGCTCTGGGAGAAGCGAGCAGGCTGTGCGCAGTCTGTCCGCTGCTCTTTGGGGCTGGGGGGGGAGGGAAATAATATTTTTTTTCTTGATTTCCTCCTCTAAAAACTAGGTGCGTCTTGTGGTCTGGTGCGTCCTATAGAGCGAAAAATACGGTAAGCAATTAGAGCATGTAACACCTGCCCTGGTTGCTAGTGTTTTTCTGAGTCCAATTAAAGTGTCGGTTAGCCTGATCCCAAGCAACTTAGGGTTTTAAAGGTCATTTGAAGACCTACCTTCAGCTATATGAAGCTGCCAGAAAGATCCATCAGGTTGGTCAGCACAATAGACAGAAGGATGTTTTATGCTCATTGCCCCATCCCTAGGAAATGCCATTTCATTGGAGAAACACCCAACCCTTTCCCCAGCTATGTTTAAATGGGCTTTTAAATCCTGTGTGTTTCAGTTCCCTTTAATTTAATTCGTAATATTCTGCATTTTATAAACAGTAGTTTTTGCTGTTTTATGTTTGGTTCATATTGAAATGGAATGTTTACACTGCTGCTTTCATTAATTGTATGTTATACATCTGAAAGCATCCCTGCTTAGGGAATTTTTAAATGTTTGAAGTTTTATCGTGTTTTTACTATTCTTCTGGGAACCGCCCAGAGTGGCTGGGGAAACCCTGCCAGATGGCAGGGTATAGTAGTAGTAATAGTAGTAGTAGTAGTAGTAGTAGTAGTAATTATTATTATTATTATTATTATTATTTGTGGGGGCACATGTAAAATGTATTGGGAATATTTTTTATTTTTTATTTTTTAAATGATATTTATTGAAAATTTTAAAATTACAAAAGAGAACAAAAAAGAAAAAAAGAAAGAAAAAACAAAGAAAAGACAAACCACAGTCAAACAATACAGATTAATAAAAATCAAAATCAAAAAATAACACGACACAATTAAAAAACAAAAATATACCACAAATATTTAAAAACAAATCCAATATTCTCATATCTTTAACGGTCATTACCTTCTTTCTTTGACCTCCTCCTCCCTTTTTTTGTATCCTGATTATTAATTGTCACAGCAAATCCTTTCCATATTTCATAATTTTCTGTCATTACCTTAATCTATTTTAATCTTATCTTACTATGAAAACCTTAAAAACTTAAAACTTAAATCTTATTTTTACCAATTTCTCATAACCATAATATTCTTACATAATTCTTTAAACATTTTTACTAAAGCCAAATCATTTCGTTCCAACATTTTTCTAACATTCATCAATTTTATAAAACAATCATAATAAAAGAAATAACAATCCAATCTTCACCCAGCGTCTCTTCCTCCTGGACCCGGGTTTTGTCAGTCCTTTCTATCCCATCAATCTAGCGCATTAACCTGGTAACCTTATGTCCGAGGCCCTTAAGTCTCTTCCATGTCCCTTCCGCAGCTCTTCTTCATACTTATAGCTATATTTTCCTTTATCTCCTACTTCTTTCACTCTTGCGAACTCCAGCTTGACAATGCTTTTGACCCTTCTCGACAAATCAGCCCCTTTTCCATAGTCCCCACTAAGCTCCATGTGGTATTTAAGAACATATTTCAAAAACCCTCCAAAATTGAGAGCCCCCACAACCCCAAACATCTCACGGGCCATTGCCAAGTCCAAACCTCCCTGCATAGGGGGGTCTATCCAACCCCCCATTTCCAAACCAAACCAAACTTTATCTTTCCAAATCTGGCTTTTTCCAAGTTCATTTGTCAAATCCAAGAATTCATGTTCCTGCTGGGCCGCAGCTCCCTCCATCCCTGGCACCCAAGATTCAGCAACATCCTCTTCCCTCATCTGTTCTGTCAGGGCACAATCCTGATCTAATTCCTGGGTGGGCTCTATATAATATCCCACTGCCTGTCCAAAATTTCTAATCGCATCAGTCATAAAATCCGTCTTCTCATGTAGCTGTTCCAGTAGGGCACTTGTTTTACAGAAAGCACTCAACAGAGCTTCTGAATACATTGTCCTGCAAGGTCAGAAGTCTATTCCCACGATCGTAATCTGTAACAGCTGCGAGCTTCCCGATTCAAAATTGGTTACAGTTTCATAGGCTCCCTCTAGGGGAAAAACTTCTTGTTCTTTTCTTTTAAAAACAAATCTAACAACAAAGTTTCCTTTTTCAGATATTTTGTCAATATTTGTTCCTTTAAAATGCGAAGGGGAACAATGGAATCACTATGTATCTCTTCCTTTAGCTATCTGTCAAAAACGTTTGTCTCTGGTCAATGAGCTTCAAAGAACGTCAGTCCTGACGCCCCGCTCCAGGATCAAGACGGTGGAAAGTTACTTTACACTCACTTCTGCAGGTTTAAACAGTCCAGAAAATATCCCCCCTCTTCTCCTGCTTCCGAAGGGGGTTCCACAATTTTAAATGATGAAAGTTAATCCTTTACAAGCAATTTTCTGAACTTTAGTATGGTGTGTCTTTGCTTTAATCTATCTACAAAGAAATGGAAGGCTGACTTCCTGTTTAGACCTTCCCGTTTCAGTGCCAAATTAAATTAAACTTTTAAGTCCAGTTTTCCTTTCTGCTCGCAAATCCTTATTTAGAGTCCAATTGTCCGAAACTTAAATACTCAACGGGTGGTTGTTTTAAAAGCCAAATTGTCCCAGGAAAAAGGCAGCGCTCTCCGGCAACGGCTGTGCGGCTTCGCTCCACGGAAGAAGCAGTTGACTCTCAGCACTGCACCACTTCCCCCTCTTCACTCCGGAGCCCGTTAGTGGGTTCCTTTGCAGGTTGGGGGGGGCGCTAAAGGTGCCCGCCAAGTCCCATGGTCACAGGCTTCATCCGCCTGTGATTTTTGAAAGGGTCCCCGCTTCGCCGTAGCGGAAAAGACCCGATTCCCGTGGAGCTGGTCCCTCCAGTTCAGAGGGAATCCGCCATTGCCGATGGCGCCACCCCGGAAGTCCTGTATTGGGAATATTTTT